AAATTTGCAATAAAAAAATTAAGGGCAACTTATCAAGATAAAATATAGCTTATAGATTCATGGGATTGTGTAGCTTTCTGATGGTAAAAAATTTTAAAATCAGTGAAATAGTTCYAGAGATTAAGCCAATCAAACGAACAATTTTTCTTCTTTATATTCTATAACGCTTTAGTAGGGGTCGAATTTTGAAAAATCCTGTTATAAGGGGTTTTTGTATTATAAAATGAAATTACTGACACAATTCCATACTCATTCTTCAGTGGTTCCGGCTAGGTGATTTTTAAAATTTTTTAATTTTTAACTCCAGTAGTGGTTGAATTTTGAAAAACCTTTTCTTAATGGGTGTCTACTGTCTACACAATGAAACAAAACTACTGTCTGAATTTCGTACTCATAGCTTCAGCTGTTCCGGCTAGGCGATGATGAATAACTCAGGACAAGTATGTTATATGTATAGATAATGAATATGTACATTATTATGTATATAGTATATATAGTGGTCGCCGCTCATTATGATCACGGTRCATTATTATTATTTTATCCAACTTTCGTTTAGTGTTATCAAACGGATTATGCTATCAGTTATGTCCCGTACTAAAGATTAAATTAAGCGGCGACCACTGTATAATAAAATGCATCAATGTATAATTACAATTAAATAAATCATTGTTATAATGATATTATTTTATTTTACATTTATAATATACCTATTATATATAAAAATTCTCTGAAGTATATGCAACAATATACCATTACAATATATATAACAATAGTCAATAGAGAATCAACTCGTACACACCTAATAATGACCAGGGAATCAAATAATACATAAATGAGTAGGTCTCGGGAATCAACTCACTTATTGAGAAAWTAAGTATGGGCAAAATTTATATGTTCTAAATCCAACCCTACGATCGACTAGGTACCTATAAATCGGTGGAATTTACAATCTCCCGATACTTGMCTATTATATAGGTACGTTACACCAGCACCACAACCTAAGCTTTTTTATTTTAAATTGGTTCCATAATTTAGTAACTGATTAGTAACCATTCGTAACCACAAAGTTGGAATTCGTAACCTAAATCAAGCACCAGAAAAACCGTTTTTCTCAACCGGGTGCTGGTGTAACGTTACACCAGCACCCGCTACATCGGAATAATCTACTTAGAAAGTTCAAACCTAATCTAGGCTTTAGTAACCGATTTAAAATAAAAAAAGCTTAGGTTATGGTGCTGGTGTAACGTACCTCTATTATATCTATCTAAATCATCTCAATCCTACTTGAGTTACGYGAGAGTTATTTTTTAATTACTAAATTAAAGTTATAAAAAAGTTTTAGCTATAGKTATAACTTTTTTAACCAATATGTAAATTGGTATAATAATTTACATATATATATACGAAGTATATATATATATCGGATTTCTAATTTATGTTTCAAAATATATATACAGTCAATACAGTTATTTCAATTAACCAACTTTTAAAACTGTCATGTGGTTTCTAATGCCTCTTGGTTTATATAGTAATTGGCATAATTTTATCAAATTATAAAAATATTATCATTTTACCACCAAAATCCAGTTTTAAAACASTGATTTATACATATGAAAGGAAGTTGATTTTTGCAGGAATGGAASGGTGTGAAAATTTTWAATTAATTTMAATTAATAAAAACAAGTCTTCCRAAACATTCATCTTCATGCGTTTATTTTATCGATACATTATTCGTTCTACYATGAAAACAAAYCACCACTTACTGCAATTACGCCCACGACATACCCTGTAAATAATGTTATAATATTGTTCTACATTGAATACTTTGGAAATATAAATATATAAAATATCGTTTACTATATATTATATATTGGTAATTGGGGAARTTATCGTGAATTAATGGCAAAATTAGCCAAAGCAAATTAAGGACAATCACAGGGAGCAAGGGAAATATTGATAAAAACTGTGCTTATGATTTAGAATTTAGGAATGCCGTAGTCATGTACTTCATATTACTATTCTTACTTTATTATTACTATACAATTTCAACATTGTACAATAATAAACGTAATCAAACCGATGGAGAACAATCTATTGCGATAAGCGTTTATCTTATCAATTAAATTATGACTAAGATACTTTACTCATTCCATGAAATTATTTGCATGGCCTGAAACCACACTGAATRTCTAGGTGGACAGTTAAAAAAATATACACGTGTATTTTTAATAAACTATGTAGGTACACAATGTTCCTTAATAGTTATTATTTAAGTTATTTTGAAATGATCACTTATTACTTCCCTTATATTAATATTTAGAGTAATGGAAATTTAATTTAAATGTATAATTATTACGTTAGTCTTAATTAAATGTTGTTGCAAATAATTTAGCTACTATGTTACTTCCAAATTTAAAATTCAAGACAAAGACTATAGGTGACTATAGTAGTATAATAAGATATTTCACTTTTGCATTGATAGCAAAAATATATTTGTGGCTYATTGGTGAGGCGCGGTCGTACGCTCAATCTGCGGAAACGCACTGAGCGTACGTACCGGCCGCAGTGGCTAGCTCCCGGATGGGTGACCACCCGGGATTTTTAGCAACATATCCTTGCCACACATACACAAACACGTGTTACAACCCTACCCACTTAAAAACCTACTGACAAATATACAAAATAACCCCTACCGTACCACCCCACACCCAAT